CCGCCAGACCGTAACTTTTCTACACCAAGACGATTGTGCTAGATTTCCGCATGGGACTAGAGGTTATGATGAGGACCATCTCGACTTCCATGTTCGCGCGGTTGACTCCCGGACCCGTATAACACAGCCATCTAGTCTTCGGTTATTTTTTCGTCATTGATGATGCCGGCGCAATACTAGCCATTGATAGCGAACTACTGGTTGAATAGGGAAGGCCAGAAGGGAGGGAAAAGTTGGTGTAGGGGTGCTGGGCCGGGGATAAGAAGGCGTCTCCACCCACCCGATGTCCGTCCTTGGGGCAGATCCAAAGCTCGCCTCCCCGAGTCGGAGGATGATCTTACCCGCTTCTCCACGACCCAGGACGGCGCCTTTGGTGACGAGCCCACACGAGCTCGGTTGCAACATCGGTCAGCAGCTAACAGCAGTGTGTTGTCTTGGCAGAGCTGCCTTATTGCAACACGGTAGGATGATCTGGAAGATGAGAGGCTGTGGTTTGAGAAGAGCCCACCATATTAGCTTCAGGCGTACAGACAACACTTGGGTATCACGGCGACAACGGTTCTGTTGGGCCAGCTCATGACCATATTCTCTGCTCCTTTTCTTTCATCAAAGTATAACCGCTGACAGAGTTGCTCTTAATGTTACCGTTGCCATTAACATTATTCTTAAGGACATGTGATGGGGTGCATGTTGGTGACGCTCTTTCTCATATGAGCTTGTATATATGTGATGCGAGAATATACACGATGCAAGTGTCCACAGACCTGCAATCACATAGAAGAACAATGGTTGCGGAGATTTGACTTCTAGTTGATCCTTGAAAGCTGCCGCATTTTAACTCCCTCGTCTATTTCGTTGCTCATAACGGCCGTATGTGGGTGACGTTGCGGAGTGAAGGCAGCCAGTCACTCAGACAGAGCGAATTGTGGCGTTGGGGCTGGTTTCAATCATGTCTCAAGATTGATTTGCTTCCCAAACCTCGCATACAGCTGAACCTTCAGCTCCTTCATCTCTTCCCGTACCGACCCAAGCTTTTCCTCCAGCTCGCTCGTCTCCTCCTCGATTCGAGATGTCGTCGTACCCAGCATCTCCTGGGCCTGCTCTAGTGAGAGATGGAAGAAGGAGTCGCCGATTTTATACCTGGCCGCAGAGGTCAATATACCGGTTGATATTTAGGGAAGTTGTGATAGTTACGTACGGGATCTTCTCGTCCTCGTCTGCCAGCTCAAGCTCCACTGATAAATCGTCTAAATCCTCCTTTTCTTTCTGTGCAACGGAAAGGATCAGTATATCGCGGTGTCGGGTTCGGTTTGGCGAGATTAGGGGTTTTCCGTACGCTTTTTGCTTCCAATTCTTCTTGGAACAGGATCTCGCGCTGGTGCAGTCTACTAAACTTGTTGATCTTGTCCTGGTCCTCGCGGCGAACCTCGACCTCCTCACTTCCCTCCTCCTCTGCTTTCGAGAGCTGTGGAGCTGATGGTTAGCATTGAGGGTTCCGCTGGGTCAGAAATATAAGTACTCACCATTCGGCGCCCGATAAGTCCTGACATGTTGGGCTAGATTGTCCTCATCGGCGTATCAAGACCACGGCAGCAGCGCAATCTGCTTCGAAAATGTCATGGAGGGGTGCTTTACACCGTGTATTTTGGAATATTTGCACACGGTCCGTATCCACTATGTTCACACCAAAGGGGTATGTTTTTTTGCACTGTGCAAACCCCACCACAGCGGGCAGGTCCAAAGTGGTACGTACCGCCAATGAGTGACATCAATCGCTGTTTGTTGACTGCACCATCGTGGTCAGCCTTGTCTTCCAACCACGATCGCAACATGGCCTTGGTCGGGAAGAAGCCTTATCCCAAGGCCACGGTGAAGAAAATCATCAAAGCGCATTCGAATCTCAACATCAAGAAGAATGCAGATGTCACGGTTAGTACATGGTGCCGGTTGAGCGTTGACGCGACGGGTTAATCGACGCGCCTCCCGCCACATCCAGCGATATCGAACTAGATTAATAACCGTCTTTGCAGGTGTATCTAGATTATGTCTTGTTTATGGAATCGTAAGTCCATCCATATATCGTTGGTTGCCGCCCACATTTCAGTTCTGATTTTCCATCTGATAGTCTGGTGAAAGAGGCTGCTATCCACTCGAAGCAGTCCGGCGAACGAGCACTCGCAGCCCGGAGTGTGAAAAAGGTCACGCGAGTAAGTTCCCCTTTTTGACAAGCCCGACCGGGAATTTTGAGCATGGCGACTTACACAAGTTTAGGATACCTTGAGCAAATTCAAAGGATGAGCCGCAACACATCATCTTTATGGGGCGTTTAAATGAATAATTTATCAGTTGTTATGGCATCGGTGACATCAATAATTATGGCGTATTGGAGTGATCCGAGAGTTGTTTTCGATGGTATAGAAAATATTAAAATTATCCCCTTCAACCATAAAATACAAATAATAAGCCAAGATTCTTGAGATATTTCTAAGATATATTACCCATTGTCGCGGCCAGGTCGAGATCTTGAGGAGAGATCTGGGAACCCCAGTCACGGTGCGCCCAATGCTAAGGCAGCCCAGCCTCGGATGCTGGTGTGGGCCGGGGAGAGCTGCCCCCCTGCATGCGCTGAAGCTACCGTTACGGCCAGGCCTCACCACAGGCTCCTCTCGGCGAGTCAGCTTGGAAAGCACTGGCAGAAAAAACGGCCCAACTTCACTTCGCTCCTCATTGTTCACCTCCCAAACATATCCTCCCTCACTTCTTCCCGTAACCACCTGCGCCAGCATAATTGCTACCTTCGCATCCACAAAATTTTCATCCCAGCCAGCGCTGTCCCAAGCAACTAGCTCCCACCTCTCCTCACCATCCACTCTTGCCAACCCCGCAAGAGCTCTATTTGGCCACAGCCGACGCATTAGCCAGGTAGGCAAAACTTCAACTTCTGTCGCCTCACAGACCACGTCACCGAAATGGCTGCCTCGACTGCCCAGTCCGGTTCGAAGCCCAAGAAGACGGCCACCAAGGCCATCGAGAGAACCGAGTCCCCTGCCCCCAGCGCCGTTTCTGGCCAGGGCGAGAAAGGCGACGAGAGCCCCTACATTCGTGAACTGCAGAAGTGAGTGCTTAGCCTTGCGGTCCATCTTCACACCTTCATGAGCTGACATCTCCCCGAAAAGGAACATCCGCAGTGTCAACAAGAAAATTGTACGGTTCCATATGCTGCTCACCTAAGTTAGTCACACGACACTGACCCCGAACAGACTCACGCCTCCAAGATCGATTCCCTCCTTAAGGAGCACGACGGCAAGACTCTTGACGAACTAGTCAATGCCAAGATCATCAATGCGGACCAGAAAGCCCAGAGTCTGAAGAAGCCTGCACTGCAGGCCCAGCTCACTCAGCTCGAGGAGCAACTCACCCAAATCCTCAAGATCGACAATGAATACCGAACCAAGGCCGCCGCCGAGAAGACTATCGCCGAGCAGTCGCTAGAGAAGGCCAAAGCCGATGCTGTTGCGGAGGCCAAGGAGAGCTTCGACAAGACTCTTCGCGGAAACCTGCTCCTCCTCTCACAATTCCTGCGACTGGCAGCATACCGTCGCGAGGAAGCTACCGACCCCGATTCAGATGAGAGCCAGGCCATAGAGGGTGTGCTGCTTGCTATCTACACGGGAGATGAGAGCGCTGTCAACTCAATGCTGAAGCTGGTTGACGGCTCCTCTGATCAGATTTGGAGTGTCCCTGGCGAGCAGCTCCAGACGACTTGTATGTGTCATAGACTCACCTTGTTACAGGTTATGCAGCCCATTTACTAATTGTGCCCACAGACGCCCAGGTGAAGAGCCTCGCCCAAGATTACAAGACCCCCAACTACGCTGAGGGTGCCGATGCTCCCGAGGCCAACACTGAGGTCACGACAGACCCTACCATTGCCAACGCTGGTGCAACCGAGCTTGACGCCACCGTGCCTGTTCCCGGTGAACAGGAGCAGGCTGTGCAGACCGCTACCAACGGCATTGCTAACATCAATGTGTCGGATGAGGCTGCCAATGCTGTCGCCGGGAGCCACTGGGACACTCCTGCTGCTGACGTCGCAATCTCACAGGAGTGGGTTGACGTGAAGGTTCCTCGTGACCCAGCTGAGACTGACAATGGTCTCACTGCTACCCCAGCTGCGGCTGGCAACAACCAGTCCTGGGCTGATGACCACCCAGAACCTGCCGCCGAGGTAAGATGAGCAACTATGGAGCGCGATTGAGAAATCATCATCTAACAGGCTGTAAATTAGACCGCCCCCGCCAACCCAGTAGAGCCCAACGACGGTTTCCACCAGGTTCAGCGAAACCGCGGACGTAACGATCGTGAGGGAGGAGGCCACCGTGGACGTGGCGGCCGTGGAGAGTGGCGAGGCCGGGGTCGTGGAGATGGCCGTGGACGGGGCCGTGGAAACCGTAATGCGGGAGGGGCCCCACGAGGTGGTGCCCGCCGACAGGAAGAGTCGTAGGAGACTCGGCCTCAACCAAACTGGATGGGCCAACAGTGTTGAACATCCATAATCATATCGTCTAAACGGACGACTGTACACCATACCATGTCATGGCGGCGTTTGCCATTGAAAGCGGCGTCAGCGAACTCGGTTTTTTTGTAACTCTTGTGGCATAGTACGAAGGAGTTGCTGGCATTTTTGGCCCGGGTGGGCACTGTGATTCGGATATGGGCGACGAGGAAAGGGGGGATTTTGCTTTTTGGGGGAGGCTCGGTCTTGTGATAACCTTCCTTGTGAGGAAAAAAAACTCTTTTTGAGGCAGCTGGTATACAGGCGAATCAGGAATTTAGGAAGTGACCGGCACAACGTTTGCTTTCCACGATGTGTGCATTGTGCATGTGAAACAGTCATCTTTTTCGTAAGTGTACACTAAGACTACGGATTCTTCGCTAACTACTACACATAACTACGCAGTTATGTTATCACCTGCCATTAATTTGCGAACCTCAGGACTTTAGCCTTCCTTCGCCTTCGCCAACTCAGCAAGCTCTTCCTCTTCTGCAAACCCTTCTTCGGGACCGAGAGCCTTCATCTTGACGGTGTCTTTCAGCCACTTACCAGTGGCAGACACTGATCTGCCCAACGCCGAACCATGCTTGAAATTGGTTTCCACGTCGGGGGCCAGCCAGTCCAGGCTCACAAACTTGCGGTCCAGAGACCCGGTATTGATATCGAAGACGTCAGACCACCCATCCGGGAGCTCGCCCCCGTGGCACCACTCGGCGGCCAGGGCGTAGTGGAAGCAGACCTCGGTCCCGCAGCGGCCGCAGAAGCTGCGCGAGAACGACCTCCCGCAGTCGAGGCTGTGGAAGAAGCGCAGCCAGGTCCTCTCGCTGTCCTGGGGCTGGGTCGCGCGCAGCACGTCCCTGGCGGGGAGGTAAGGGGGCCGGCCGGCGTCAGCGGCGGCGGCATCAAAATCCTCGGACGTGCAGTCGAGGAAGCGGCCGGTGATGATGTTGGACGACTCGGAGCCGGTGCGGGGCAGGACCGAGACGCGGATCATGGTCTCTGGGATCTGCATGAGGGTGGCGGGGAGGAGGGTGCCCGAGGCCATGCGGCAGTCGTTGCAGTGGCATGTCAGGGCGTAGGGCATCTTGGTGCCGACGGACTCTGGAACGAAGGGCGAGGGGGGACGGGAGGCGGCTGGGGGAATCTCGACGCGGTAGCGGATGGCGCCGCAGGAGCAGCCGCCGGTGAGGGTGAGGGCTTCGTCGGGGAGAGTCATGTTTTCTTATGAATTGGGGCTTCGGGATATTATGAATTGATCAAATGATGGAGGAGAGGAAGAGTCTAATTGATAATTCAAGATATCATGGAGCTACGCTTGAGTGTTCTTTTGTATTCAGCTTGGACAGTTGCCATTATGGCTGCGCTTGGAGTCTTGCGACCCATCATGACAAGTGCGCCTTGGCTTGTTCATTGATGCACGCTGGTACGCGGGATAGAGGGTCTGACCACCAAAGAATGCGTGTCAATATGTGCGTGAAAGTGGTTGTTGTGAGAAGCTGAACATGCGCCACGAAACTAGTCATTGGCGATATGCCCAATGGTCGTTATGCCAAGCCCCAGTTAGATCACAATGTGGAGCATGGTGTTGCTCCCAGGAAAAGCTAATTTTTCTTCCCGATGTAGGGCCAGGAGAGCTTGTGTCAAGGGTGTGCTATGCATTACGGTAGTCGTTGCTCCAGATCTCTCTGGCCGGCACTTGAGTACCTCTACAAGGGAGGTGGTCGACAGGGCTGTCTACCGTTTGAAAGCAACACTGGAGAAAGAAGAGACAGAAGTAGCGATACAAAATCCGTATATAACTGGGGAACCGTTACTCAAACGGTGGGAAGAGCTCCGTGTCATCTATTCATGACACCTTACCCAACTGCCGAGGCTTGAACTGCGCAGGTCAATGAGCTGACTAGTCCCTCCAGCTACGTATTAAGCCATGAAATGAACATAGTTGGTTTCCCGTCGTCTCTGGTGCTGAATACCTCTAGATCAAAATAGAGATGGCTACCGTTCCCGCCCATCCAAGAGCCACCTCTTCAGTGGGCAGCGGCTTATCGGGCTCTTATCGCCCCATCAGCCTTGCAGCCAGGCCACTTGGTCTGGGGCTAACGTCACAGAAATAGCCCAGGACCTTTTTTTAACTGTCAAGCTGTCCTTTCGGGCAAGATCTAGGCCATAATACCGCCCACCACCACCTTGAACGAGGGTCGGCTTGAGGCCACATCAGCCTCTGCATGGACATTGCGACTTCAATTGATTCCATTTATACTGTCGCCTTCCCCTCCCCATCCAATTCCTCTTGATCTTCCTCTTTAACTTCCCCACACTCGAGGTGCGGATTCGAACACTTTCTGGCTGACGGCTTTATCCCACACCCACCGCCATCTGGGACCTTCGTGTACCCCCACTACCCACCATGTTAATCAAGCCCTCGGGGACATCACCATTGGTGATGGTCCTTGGGGCCATTCTATTCTTCTCAGCACAGGTCTTTGCTGCTTCGGCCGCATTGGGTGTTGACCTGGGGACTGAGTATATCAAGGCTGCGCTGGTGAAGCCTGGGAAGCCATTCGACGTCGTCCTAACCAAAGACTCTCGAAGAAAAGAAACCTCCGCCGTTGCTTTCAAACCATCGCGCGGCGCACCTCAGTCCGGCGAGTACCCCGAAAGACTCTATGGCTCCGACGCCATGGCGCTGGCAGCCCGATTCCCCGGAGACGTTTACCCCAACCTCAAGGCCCTCCTCGGCCTCCCCGTCGACGACGCCCTGGTCCAGGAATATGCTGCCCGACACCCCTCCCTCAAGTTTCAAGCCCACCCCTCGCGAGGGACTGCCCAGTTCAAGAGCAGCGCTGTGTCAGCGGAGGAGGATGCCTGGTTGGTTGAAGAGCTGCTCGCCATGGAGCTTCAAAGCATTCAGAAGAATGCCGAAGCCGCAGCTGGCGATGGCACCTCGGTGCGCTCCGTTGTCTTGACCATTCCCCCATTCTATACCGCAGATGAGAGGCGCGCTGTACAGGCTGCTGCCGACCTCGCTGGCCTGAGGGTTCTCGGCACCATCAGCGATGGTCTGGCTGTTGGTCTCAACTACGCCACCACCCGCCAGTTCCCCAACATCAACAAGGGCGGGAAACCCGAATACCACATGGTCTTCGACATGGGTGCGGGCTCTACCAAGGCGACCGTCATGAGGTTCCAGAGCCGCGAGGTCAAGGACGTTGGAAAGCTCAACAAGACTGTCCAGGAGGTTCAGGTCATTGGAACCGGTTCCGACCGCACTCTGGGCGGTGATGCCCTCAACAACCTCATCATCGACGACATGATTGAGAAGTTTGTCGAGTCCAAGGCGGCACAGAAGGCCTCTGTTACCGCCGAGGGCGTCAGGGCCCACGGACGGGCCATCGCCAAGCTGACCAAGGAGGCTGAGCGTGTTCGCCATGTTCTGAGCGCCAACCAAAACACGGCCGCCAGCTTCGAAGGCCTCTATGACGATGTGAATTTCAAGTACAAGATCGAGCGCGCCGATTTCGAGGCGTTGGCTAAGGCCCATGCTGACCGAGTTGCGGTTGCCGTCAACAGCGCCTTGAAACAGGCTAAGCTGGAGATGGATGACCTTGATTCTGTTATTCTGCACGGCGGTGCTTCTCGTACTCCTTTTGTCCAGAAGGCTCTCGAGAAGGTTGTTGGCTCAGCCGACAAGCTCCGCTCCAATGTCAACTCTGACGAGGCCGCCGTGTTTGGTGCTGGTTTCCGCGCCGCCGACCTCAGCCCAGGCTTCCGTGTCAAGGAAATCAGAATCTCTGATGGCCCAGGCTACGCAGCTGGTCTGAAGTGGAAGGCAAGCGAGGAGAGGACCCAGCGTCTCTGGACCCCCATCTCTACCATCGGTGGCCCCGCCAAGGAGCTCTCCTTCAATGAGGAGGCTGACTTCAGCGGTACTTTCTACCAGCAGGTTGATGCTGAGTACAAGGACCTGAAGCGTTTCACCACCAAGAACCTGACCTCGAGCATCGCGGCGCTCAAGGAAAAGTACCCCTCTTGCGTTGAGAGTGGCGTTACCTTCCGCCTCGGGGCCAAGCTGGATGCCGAGGACGGCGAAATTGATATTGTCAAGGCCGCTGTCGAATGTGAGGCCGAAGTCAAGGAGGGCTTTGTCGACGGTGTCAAGAACCTTTTCGGATTTGGCAAGAAGGACCAGGAGCAGCTGAACGGCGACGAGAGCTCCTCAACTGAAACTGTCAACACATCCGAAGAGTCGGCCACCAAGTCAGCAACTGAATCATCCCAATCCGCCGAGGCCTCGGGCTCGACTGAGGAGCTGAAGACGGAGGTCAAGAAGCTCGAGACTGTCTCCATCCCCGTTGAGATTGTCATCGAGATTCTCGGCACGCCGCAGTTGACCAAGGAGCAGACTAAGCAGTCCAAGGACCGATTGAAGGCCTTCGCAGCCTCTGACTTGGCCCGGTACCTCCGTGAGGAGGCTTTGAACCAGCTCGAGGGCTTCACATACAAGGTGAGAGACCTGCTCGAGGATGAGTCTTTCATTGCCGCCTCGACCGAAGCCGAGCAAACCAGCCTCTCTGAGAAGGCCAGTGCCGCCAGCGAGTGGCTTTACGATGAGGGCGCCGATGCTCCCCGAACTGAACTCAAGGCCAGGCTCAAGCAGCTGCAGGACATTGCAGACCCTGTTCAGAAGCGTGTCACAGAGAGTGGAGCTCGCCCCGCTGCCATCTCCAAGCTTAGGAGCTCCTTGAAGGAGACCTTCAAGTTCGTCGACACCATGCGTAAGCAGATTGACGAGTACGATGAGTGGCACGCCGCCGCCTCTGCGTCGTCGTCTGCAACTCCCTCAGCCACACCTTCGGGCGACTTTGATGGCCTCGAAGACGAGGATACCCCCAAGGACAAGAAGATGGAGGATGTCCTGGAGGAGCGTGGCCCCGTCCCTCCCCTCTACAAGCGCGAGGATCTTGACGAGCTCGCTGCCCTCTCCAAGACCACCGAGGAGTGGATCAACGAGAACGAGGCCAAGCAGGACAAGCTCGCCGCGACAGCCGACCCTGTCCTCCTTGTCAAGGACGTGACCGCCAAGGTCGAGAGGCTGGAGAAGGCCGGCAAGGATCTGGCCATGAAGGGTGTCAAGAACTACAGCAAGGGCAGCAAGAAGGGCAGCAAGGAGAAGCCCAAGGACAAGGGCAAGAAGAAGGGCGGAAAGGGCAAGCCGACCAAGCTCGGTGATCTAAAGGACAAGGACTTCGGGTCCCTGAGCGCGGAGGAGCTCGAGGATCTGATTAAGAACATGAGCGAGGAGGACTGGGCCAAGGTCCGTAAGGAGGCCGAGGCGCAGCAGAAGCAGGCTGAGGCGAAGCCCAGTGCGGAGCCTCATGATGAGCTATGATGGGGATGTGGCATTTCCTTGGGTCTCACGGTGTGGAAATAGAAAAGACGGTACATCCGGCAGAAGCATTGAATGAAATTTATATGATCTTTTTTTTACTCTTGATACCTTGACATAGTGTATGCCCATTTTGCCCTTGGAGATGCTCTGAATGGATTCTTTTGTTTGCTACCCCAGGCGTTCCAGTCCGAGTCGATCGTCCTGAAGTTAAGGATAGTAACGGTTGGTGAGTAGTACAACCCTATGCAAATGGCCGTCACTGGCGCAAATAAAGAAAGAACAACGAATTCGCTGTATTGAGGTAAGTCGCTCTCCGTTCTGGATTCTCTGTAACATCATCTTTCGACTGAGCTGCTGCTGGGCAGGTTTCACGATTACCGCGAAGATGAGAACGGGCCTGGATGTAGTAACACAAGACGATACGAGTCACTGTCGAGCGACGCTGAATTGGCATGAAGTTGAAACCAGATAGTCTCACAAACATCAGGCTCTCTTTCAAGAAGAGTCTAAGCGCCGCAGAAACAAAATGAAAGGATGAGCAACTCGTCTCCAGTAGATGCATCTCACCGAGTCAACAAGGTCCTCGGCAGATCGACTTCTGTGCCCAGCCGGCAGCAGCTGTATCCTGAGGCCAAGTGCGGCGCCTCTTCGATCCTCGTCCGATTGCGAAAGAAACGCGGCGGTAACACGCCTCCAGGAGCTACAACAGAGTGCCCCAACCACTAGGCCTCAGCCTTCACTTCTCTCCTCGACCACACACATCTGCATCCTGTTCCTTGACCGGTCACTTTCCTTTATTTTTATCTTAGGCCCTACCCATCCTCGTCACTCCTTTAGAATTAAAAGAAGAAGATCCGAAGACTCACAGCATTGTTTACTCTACCTCCATCATGATCATTTCCTGCATCCTTTTGGCTTTTCTCCAAGCCATCTTCGTCGCTGCCATAGCAGCGGCGGCAACAATCCCAGACCAATCGAACCTCGGCCTCGAAGGGAGCTTTTCGCTCTCCGTTGCAGCGACATCTCACCAATCAAGAGGCTTTTTGAGGGACTGGGCAGCTGCTCGACAGAAATGGGGCAAAGGCATCCCGAAGGATGTGGCTACCGCCTTTTCCCTCCTTGACAGCAGTGAGTAGCCAATATTGCCTCTAGAACACTGGAGAGAGAGGCCGTGCATTACAAACTACGGATAATAACATATTTGGGGGGAAGACGGCCGGGTAGATGTCCAACCGCTGGGCAGCGATGATATTTTCATCGCTGATCTCGAAATCGGCAACCCGCCCCAGGTGGTCAAGATTGCACTGGACACGGGCTCCTCGGACTTGTAGGTGACGGCAAACTCTTGAGACAGCTTCTCTATATGTCTGACATTCTTCCAGGTGGTTGCAATCGAGCGATACAACATACTTTTACAATCGAAAGGGCCCCTGGGCTCCCCGGTACCACCCCAACATGTCCAGAACCTCCAACATCCTCAAAGATGCCGAGTGGAATGTCAAGTACAGTGAGCGAAAACTCTTTAAGCCATGCAACTTCTTTTACTTCATCCCGATTTTGTGGCAGACTGACTCATCATGTATCGCCTCAGTGGACGGCACTGCAGCCAACGGTATAGTTTACCTTGACACGGTTCGCCTGGGCGGCTTCGAGGTCCGCAACGCGACCATCCAGTCCGCCCTGACGGTGGCCCGCCGCTTCGAGCGCGAGACGGGGCTCAGCGGCATCATGGGCCTCGCCAAGAGCCTCCCCAGCAGCATCGCGCCCCCCTCGAGGACCTTCCTCGACCTCCTCCGCCCGCAGCTCCAGACCCCCGTCTTCACCGCCGACATCCGGCTCAACGCGACGGGGCGGTTCGACTTCGGCCGCCTCAACGAGAGTATTACCACGGACAACGTGACCTGGCTAGGCACGAGAGACGGCAGCGACCACTGGGACGTCGGGCTCAACCTCATGTCGTGGGAGGGCAGCAACTGGTGGCTGCACGACTTCACCGCCACCGTCGACACGGGCACCACGCTCACGTTCCTCCCGGACGTCCTGGCCAGGATGTACTGGAGCGACGTCCCCGGGATGCGCGTCGACCCGATGCTCTCCGACGCCTTCACCTTCCCCTGCGACGGCGCCGAGAAGCTGCCGGACCTCCGCTTCAAGCTGCCCGGGACAGAGCACGTCCTCAACATCCCCGGGCCGTACCTCAACTATGGGCCCATCGCCGGCGATGACACTTACTGCTGGGGGGGCATGCAGAGCGCCGACGACCTCGAGTCCACCATCATTGGCGGCACGGTTCTCAAGGCTCTGTTTGTGGCGTTCGATCTAGAGACGAAGAAGGTCGGGTTTGCCAACAAGCGGCTCTGAGAACTAAATACGGCTCAAGGGGGTAATTTGCTGAGGCGTGGGTAAATGTTCAGTGAACTTTCTTCTCTTCTTCGGCAAGGGCCGTCTATCGAATGTTTGAAATTAGGGTATCTTTATTAGAAGTAACAAACAATGGACTGAAACCCCACCACGTCCCCATTGAAAACACGGGCAAGGCTTTGTATGGTGCTTGTACAGGGAGCTTGAGCAAATACCGGTAAACCGGTGCATACATTTCATCTTAAGAAATCGCCTATTCTTCATGCCCAACACACTGGCCGTTGTCCTTGACAGACAGAGCCCGTCAGACACCGCCTGCTGATTTCGATCCCCTTAAATAAAAACATCATACGCCCATTCAAAATGCTGTTTGCGGCACGTCGTCCGCCCAGACATGGTACGGTTGCCGCGTTGAAATAAACCAATAATCCCCATTCCGACTAATGAGGCTCCAGGAGAAATCGTGATGCCATTGGAACGCCGAGTGTCATTAATTAGCGAGTGATAAAGTAAGTTGGCCGTTAAAATGCGCAGATGTCTTGCAGTTCTGAACGCCTGCGTCGAGCCGGCCCGTTGATGCTGGCCAGCTTGTAATTGAATATTGAGCCCATGTCGAGGCTCTATGAGAAAACGCCATGCTGTGGGGCCATGAAAGCATAGCATCATACGTCTATCGAATATGTATAAGTTCGTGTATTAACATGATTATTCTTCGCGGTCGCCATCTTTAAGCGGGAAAGGCAAATAGAGCCATGTCAGCGCCGGGTGTCGTCCAAATCTTCCTGGGTGACGAGATAATATTCACCTTCACTGGCCCCGGGGGTTGGTGGCATATTGCCTGAACCAGGAGCTGGCTGAGCTGCGCGGGCAGTGCCTGGCCGGGAGCGGTTCTTTGAGCCGTCTGCCGCTGGTGAATTCTGTTCGGTCTCATTCTTGCTGGCAAAGTCTGGAACCTTGGACGACATGCCCCCTGGGGGGTGGGAGATTGACTGGCGGACGTGGTGCTGAGTTCGACGCAGGCGGTTTTCCATTTCCTTGAGGCGGGCCTCAAGAGACGCTAGCTCATCGTTGCTCTGTCCAACTTTCTGCTTCCTACTCGAGGGAACAAGCTTCAGCATTAGTCTTGTGAAAAGAAGAAGCACAGTCGGGGTGTTGGTGGCGTGGGGGTTGTAGCATTGCTATGGATCTATCCATAGCTTCGGAGAGCGGAGGAACCGACCTTTGGTCAACCTCCTTATCGAGGTCAGAGATGGAATTCTCAATGCGGAAAATATCCATGAGCTCGGCAGAGAAGGAGCGAGCAATCGTCCTAGAGCACAAGACGAAGACACATTCATGTTAGCCGAGTCACAATGACAGCAGGGCCGAGAGGGGCATTCGGCTGCAAGGTAGTCCAAGCCAGGGGCTGCTTACGATTGCGGGCGACGGCCGTTGGGCTTCCAGTCGCGGTCGAGCTCGGCGTCAGACATGGTGCAAAGCAAAATTAGAGTATAATGGAAGAATATTAAAAAGATGCGCGCGGGGACGGAAAGCAATGGGGATATCGACCGAAGACAGGCTGTGCAAGATGTGAGCGGTATTGCAATGTTGGGAAGACAGAGGGGGGAGGTCAGAAGGAGTTGAGCCGGACGTTGGCTGAATTAATGAATGAATACCGTACCGTTCCAAAAATGCGGGAGGACAGGGACTCGATTGGCTAGCTGGAACTAAAAAGAAGCGCGGGAACAGGGGACATGACCTCCCTTTAGCGGAGCTGGGAAAGCACTTGGGACAGGACTCATCAGGACATAAGAAGGGATGGAGGGGGGTGGGCGGCTTATGGTGGGTGCCCGAGGCCAGAGCCAAAGGGGGAGCTTCTGGTGTTAGCGAAACATGAAGTTTCAATTATTATTAGAGCATCACATCACAGCAAAAGCCGGGCAGGAGCTATGCGGCAGTTTGCAGGAGCATTGGGAGGGGACAGCAAACGGATTAGCTAAGAGGTATCGGTACGGTGAGTGAGGGGCGCTCCCCAGCAGGACCCAGGTACAGGTACAGAGCGGCGATCGTCTCCGCATGTTCCTGGTCCCTTCACCTCTTCTTCTGCACCTGCGCTGCTGAATCCTGCCGCCTTAGTATGAATTGGGCACCATCCGCCGCGTTTGAGCATGATGCATCAGATATGGAGCAGTCATGCAGCTGCTCCTCACCAGACATGCGTCCACCTCTCGAAACGCCAGCTAAGATTGCGGCGGTGAAACACTGGATGGCAGCGTGCCTCGTTGCTCAATCCAGCAGCGAGCGACACTGGACAGCATCACACCGCACCCTGATTCTACACCTCGGGCGCCTCAGCCAACCAGCGGCGTCGAGAAATTGCATTTGGCCTGTGGGGGCCAGCAACGAGCGTCATTCCGGCAGCCCACCACGCGGTCAAGGTGGTCCACGCCCAGGCACATGAATCTAGGGACCACCCGCCAGTGTCATGGGGCCAAGACATTCTACTGGTCGACGGCGGGTATCTTGTGGCGTCGATGGTTCTGCTGTGAGACGGCGCTGCCGTGGAATGCAATCTGCGCTTCCGCCTGCGTCGTCAATCACTGGATGCCAGCACCAGCAGAACGGCATGCCATCAGGCCCATCACTCTCCTGGCATCAGCAGTCCTTTGATTGCATCTTATTAGCCCCAATGTCTGGGTGGAATGCGGCAGCCCCATCCGGGCGAGCCTTGCTGCTGCCACAGCTGCCAATGGTGGCCTAGACAAATGAGCAGCCCAAGAACCACTGGGGTCTCATTTGACTACGGGCTCGGCGCCGCCTATCATCACCTGAGTGGGCTCAATCGAAATTATCTGCCTTTTCCCGAGATGATTCTCTAGGGCGCCTGTCTCTTGACGGGAGCGATAAGTGAATCTTCAACCGTTCAATCTGCCGTATATTTGGCCCGGCTGATCTTCATTTTCGTGCTAGCTGCATTATCGTGCGCCCATCAGACTATTGTCACAAGAGCGCTCCCAGGTTGTGACTCCTAATGCAACATGTGTCTCCTCATCCGACAAGGTTTTGCTGTCGACTAAACCCGTCTTTCCCTTTGCAATTTTGACAGGAGGGGAGCGGAAAAGAGCACACGACATGCACTAACTTCACGTCCCCAGACTCGACTGTCGTCAGCATGGGTCAAAGCTCCTTCTATTTCATTATTCATGCTCATTTACAACATTTCGAGCCAGAAACCCTACATGCCCACACCACAACAACCCCTGATTAATTGTGCACAGATGGCCATGTAATCTTCCCGCAGTTTGAATTCTCCTGAACCCAGCGGTTGATCTTGGGCACGTCCCAACCGCTAAGCCATTCGTCATCCTTGGTTTCGGGCTTCCTTGGTCTCCCGTGTTTTATGCTTTTACTCATGGCACAGATACCCTGATTTAATCTGAATTGAAAGCATTCAGGGTCATTATGACATGCTCTTTCGCATTGATTAAACCCTAAGTGGGCTTCACGTTCAATCGAAGACAGGCCCCCCTTTTTGGTCCTTTGAAGCTGCCAGTTGGAGTACTCTCGGGCCTTCTCATCCAAGTAAAAGACGTCTTCACTGAGGTTGTCCCAGCCCTCTCGTTTATCTTGAAGGAGGTGCTCTATAAATCGATGCTATAGATCCTTGAATCGCATTGGCGACGTGAAGTTGCGCTCTATTTCAAATTCGTGAAGCCCTGTGACCTCCTCGCTGCTAACATGATGCATGGTCACGATGGGTTGGCACCACTGAGCTTTTCCGTATGACATAGTGCTAGGCTTCTCACCATTCACAACTGGCCACTTTGATAAATGTCAGCATATTGGTCTCAACAAGCCCTCGGTGGCACAGAAAGAACAGTATGCCTAACGGGATGGTTGTGGATACGGAAGAACTCACGACATTGGTCACTCTCACTCCTACTTTGTGTTGGAGGGCGTACGATAATAAGTAATCGCTACAACAAACAATCCTTGTATCAAGGTCCCATTCCTTTGCTACATCCGTTTTCCCACCGAAGAAGCTTTTCATTGTCGCCTGGGATAGCAGATATCCGCTGCCTCCATGAGCAAAGGGGAAATCGCCAAGGAAGGCAACGCTGCCAATGTACCATTGTTCCTTTGGGTTCACATGCTGGAGCCATTCCATCATTGTAGGCCAGACAACATAGGTATCAGCATCGACGTAAAGATACCAGTCGTAATTTGACTTCTGTCTCCAGGTTTTCTCTGCAATATGAATGTTCTTGTACTTGTCCAAACTCCATGCCTGAGAAGCGGTGTTGTCGTTTGTATTCCTATTGCACGTCTCCTGATCTGAAGCACAGGTTTTCTGGCGCAAATATAGATCAAAGTCGGGATTGTTCGCTTTTACTTCCTCCCTCACTTCATCAAGACTATCCTGAACATGGTAGCCAGCCACCGTCTGTTCCATGTCGCCAAATATGAGGAAGTCGAAAATGCATCGCATGTTCATCAATAGTTGCGTGGGGATTCTAGCGAACGACTCCGAGGCACCGGTCTTCATTATCAGGAGGATATTTGAAGTATCAGGGAATCCCTCACAGGGGCCCTTGGTGGACACTGCGGTAGGAACGGGGGCCATCCCAGAGATTTGCTGGGGAGCTGGCACCGAGGATGGAGACGGAGATATAGCATGGCGTAGATCATCTGAAGTCGGGGAGGCATCCGAAATATGCACCTCTTTGATAGTGGTTTTGTACTTGAATACGCCAGAGCAGAAGCTACTACCCGGACAGGTGCTTGCTAATCGCCACAAGGCGAGAAGGATAGCCCCAAGCAGAGCAGTCGAGATAGCAACCAGGACAACAAAACGCCGGCGGCGAGAGATCAATTGGCCCGGGATCAACTGCGGCCTAGAGGTGAAGTAACCCATGCTGTGACACGAAGATGTAGAATGAATTGACTCGGTCTTTCATGAATTATTAGCAAGCCTTGGAGAGGAGATTGATAGAGCATCAATCAAGGATGAAGAGCAATCGACCAATGCGTAATAGGCACCATGACTGACACAATTGAGAGGGGAACAGCAGCACGGCATATCCTTTAGAAATGCGTTTTAGAATTCGGAGGTGCAACGTAGAACAGATACTCATGTGATAAACATGACTGATTGACTGAAATTTGTCTATAGGAATCGCCCCCCAGCATGCGGGTTGCTGGAAAAAGTTGTTCCCAGGATGAGACTAAAATCCCACATTGCTTTCAGATTTAGTAGCATCTTCCGCTTCACGGCCTTGGATTATTATTAATTACAGCCACAGGACAGATATACGCGCAGCTGACGTTCAAATGAGTAGTGTACAGGAGAGAGCGCAAAGTCTTCACGCTACACTCTGACAAGGTCCTCGAGTCAGCATCAAGCATACATCCTTTGTGGCGGGTAGAGTGCTACGTACAATATAGGCAAGGCAACACTATGATTTTCCTCAGCAGCAGCTTCTGAGCCAGATAGTGCCTGATAGATAACCGTCTCGCTGCCGGTTGGCATCATTCACCGAAGTGTTTCCCAAATTCCGTGAATCGCCCAATCGATATAAAAAAGCCTCCAAATCACTCTAGAAGAATGAACGATTAAGAATTCTTTCTCGTCTTAGTGAATCTGATGAGGGAAGGTGCCATTGAATACATGGTGTGAAACTACCTATTAAAGAAAGCTAGTGTTGAAGGTGGAACAACATCGCACAGTCCGGCACCGAGCAGAGCAGAAGAAGACAAGATAAGACAATCAGCACAAGGATAGTAGAGTCAGATGGCTAGGGATTAGGAATATATGGACAAGGATGGTGCCTGCCAACACGCAGCTAATCACATAGAACAGATCAGATGAGAAAGAAAACCAAGCCCCCTACGTCTAGGTAGGTAGGTATCTGAGAAACCTGCAAGTTTGTCGTCTCCAGAAGTGATTCCGGGCCTACCTACAGCTACGTCGCTCTTGTGTAATCCAAAGCAGTCATTGCTCTTCTCGTCTCCATTTACTGCCATATTAGGGCTCCGGAGTTCACTTTAGGTCGTGATCTCTTGCTTTCATATTCTTTCTTGGAAAACGATTGCATATATCCGTCGTCAGCTTTGACCCCTTGGGCTTAAGGGCAACAAATGATGTGAAGAGCCCAAAGTAAGCGAGTGCATTTGCTCAATTTTGTTTTTGTTTTTTGTTTTTTTTTGGAGGGGGAGTGGGGAGTCGAGGGTTGAAGATCGAACATACGTTGTTGGGTCGCATGGCATTCACAGCAATTTTAACCTCTCTCGATGGAATTACCTAATTAGGAACACAGCAATTTTTCCTACTCCATAGGGATGGTCAGGCAAAGAAAAACAAGGAAACAAAGTTCGGTCGACTTTCGAGAATTTTGATTTATCTATGAGGACGGCTGAGCATATGCTAACCTTTGGCGCAGCCTCGAACAGTACGAGCAGAAATTGCTCAATGGATTGGACGCCCAGTCACTTAGGTATTTCCCCTCCTCTTCTATCAAGGGCATGCTCAGAAACACATATAATCACTCGGAGGGATAACAACACGGTTCTTACCAAAACATGATCAAGTGTCAATTTTGGTAGTGTATCCGGGATTGTACAGCGTGATGATGAGAATGGATGCCTGTAGGTAACCACTGAGAAGGCAACTCGCCTGCCTCCAACACAACATTACCTCAGGTACTTAATGATAATAATACAAAAAAAGCAGCAAAAACTAAAATAAAATAGTTCAAACATATTCAAATAAGCTGGATCTCTTTAAAGTAGGCTGAGCTATGCACGTGACTGGGATATGAAAACCTGGGTTGCTCTTCTATAGGGTAGGCTTATAACAATGGGTACGGTGCTTGGAGGAAGACATTTGCTGCAACCACTATCACATATCGATCTGCATGTACAGGCACCTGGATGTAGACGTGGGTTGTTCATGCTGCATTGACACCAGCGCGGCAGACAGAGCATTGACTTCCAGGCAGCAAGGGCCAACGCTGTAGGGCGTCTCCCGGTGGCTGAGTTGCCTGCTGAACGCGTCGTTGGTTACTGGCTCTAATGGACCTGACGCGAGGTCCCAGGCGGGCTCGTCAAGTGGCAGCCCACGCAGCGGCATCCAACGCTGGCAGTGATGCTCTGCAGCCCCCCGAGGACGCAGCTGCCACTGGCCCAGATGCCAGCCAGCCGGCGCGTGGCCAGATAGTCACCCCGAACGCTCTGCACCGCACGCCTGAAGGCCTCGGGGCTCTGGGCGGCGGTGATGGACTCGGCATCGGCGCAGGCCACAGCAATCCACTGTCGAGCGGTCCTTCATTACCTCCCGTCCATCCATTTCGCCTACACAGAGGTAAGTGTCTATCATTTCTTTGCTTTCTCCGCCTTCACCCTCCTCTCCCATCGGATGCTTTCCTGGTCCCGTGTAACTTGCCTTTCCTTGTTCTCGACCATGCTGTCCGTTGGCCCCCTCCACTCCACTCCATCTGCACGCTGCCGTTGTTTGTGTGATATCTGCGGCTTTCTCTGGCTTCCCCTTCATCCGGTCATCACACATCCACTCACGTTCACTTCACTCTTTTCCCTCGGGAGGAATCATCTGCCACATGGATGCTGGGGAGCCTGCTTGAGCCTGCTTCTCTTCTTCCCATCCGCGTTTCATTCACCAAGCCTATCGATGGTCATACCCGGCTTTCCCGCTGCTGCATAGGTTCCGCAATCAGCAACGTCTCGTACATTCGTGGCCGAGTTTGGATATGCTGTCTGCTAGGTTTCCGCAATGCCGCACCATCCCATGGCTCTCAGCTGCCCCCCGACTCCTCGAGCGCCTTTGCGAGAGCTCCCAGTGTCTCCGGGCGGTGCTTTGATAGGCTGCCGCACCCCAACCCATCGCCCGCTTCCTTCGGCAGACAAGGAGAACCAGCAGGCCTTGCGGGAGGCACTCGAGAGCCAGCAGCAGTACTACCTATTCCAGCTCCAGCAGCTGGCCCGTGGCATCGAGCAGTTGCAGCGGCAGTACAGGCACACGCACCGGATTCTCCGATCCTCGATTCGCATTTCACAATCTCAGGTCCTTGCTAACGATTCCCCAGCCATGCCCCAGTCTAGATTGAGCATGCCAGAGCTCTCCGACGACTCGGGCTCCGAGCCAGACCTCAGTGTCCTTGCCATGACCCGGCCGGGTCCCCCTGGAATGGAACGGCTTCATTTGCCGCCATATGATATCTCTCATGATCACTTGCAGGAGGATGACACAAGCCTGGTGGAGGGGGATGTTGACGACATGGAGGGTGGGGACCACACAGAAGAGTTGGAAGGGGCTGAGGGGGAAGAAGAAGACGTAGAGGACGAGGAAGGGGATGAGGATGAGGACGAGGATTACGTTCCTTTGGTTGACCCTGCCACGCTTGGCCTCAAGGAGATCTCCAACCTGGGCAAGTTCACCGTCAGCAGTCACAAGCAGGGGAACGGGGTCGACGAGCTGCGCAGCGATGATCTGGGTCAATATTGGCAGTAAGTGTTTCCCCAGAAGATTGCCCGACTACTACTTCGAATGCTCACAAACGTGTTGTCTAGGTCTGATGGGCCGCAGCCTCATAAGCTTACAGTCTACTTCGTGAAGCGGGTGGGGATCCGCGATCTTCGCTTCTACGTGAACTACAACGAGGACGAGTCGTATACTCCTACTAAGATTATCTTCAAGTCCGGGACCAGCGAAAACAACTTGATAGAGTTCGCGCAGATGACGCTGGAGACCCCGGTGGGCTGGCAGCAGGTTTCGCTCAGCGGAGCCGGCGGCGACCCGGATGGCAATACCCTCGTGTCGTATGTGCTCCAGATGCAGATTCTCGAGAACCACCAGAACGGCAAGGATACGCACCTGAGGGGCATCAAGATATACGCCTTTGATATGGACTCGGGGCAGGCGCAGGGGCGGGAGAACAACCCCATAGCCGACATGGTGGAGTTCCTGGACGTTGGCGGCCCTGCGGCCGCTTCGGTTGCGCCCTCTGCCGGGCAGGATGACACAAGTCAACGGCTGAGCGGCCTCGCGAGGAGATTGGCCGATACGAGGATAGAGAGCGGCGAGGCGGGACTGTCCATTCCTGACTTCATGCGGGACCCTGAAATTAGATAACTTCACATTTTTCCTTATTCGGCATCCAGCGCATGGCTGACTGGACTGGTTGAGAAGGCAACAAGCTCTAGAGGCCAACAGCCTTGGGGGTGGCGATCTTGACCGAGGCGTGGCAGGGTAGAACGCACCGGGCATCTAGAGCGAGGCTGAGCAAAGATGGCCCTTGTAGCAATAGCAAAAATCCCAACAATGGGAGTGTCTTTCTGGGAGACGGAAGGACGCTGGCGGGCGATGAGGTATGAGCTACGAGCAATGAGATAGATGATGTCGTGGGACCAATACTACATAGACCTGAACGAAACGCACCGGTGTGCTGTTCTATGCAACACGTGGGGATGTCTACCCACTCCAGATCATTGTCCTTTCCCATCGCTTAGTTTTACCATATCTCACTTCCCGCTCTACGCCCTACGGAGACCTGCCGGTCCCTTCCTCAGGCTCCCGTCTAAGGCATTGGCCAAGAAAGTTTCGCGGGGTGCCAATTCCCGCATCACACCAATCATGCCTGTCTATGTAACCCTTTGGTTGGGCATAGTGGTATGACAATTGACCGGCCGGATGCAATGGTGGTGTAGCACAGCCCCCCCTTTCCTCACCGCGACTAGCTCCCCATCATGACGTTGAAGAACGGAGGGTGTGATCTTCACGATGATGCCCACAGAGTGAGCTTCTAGAAGGCCTGTTCTGTGGACCCCATTCCCGCCCTGGGCGCTGACATGAGATCACACGGGTCACATCCACCAGGAATGAGCTGCCCCAGAAGGCGAATC